CCCCATCAAATTTATTGAAAAGTCTCATGCTTACATTTCTCCTCTCTCTGTCCCTCAGTTCTTGATCTCACTTCCATCTTCCATTAAATTCATCTGTCAGTCTCTTTAAACTCCTCCCAGTTCAATCTCTATATTATTTCATTCGTATGCCATCCATTCTGCAGGGAGTTCAAGGTTCTGTGTACATATTTACCTCCCCACCCTATTTCTCAGGCATATCAAAGGTCAACCAGTAGAAGCTTCATAATTGGAAGGGGAGTCAAACCAAGCCCTCTCCCATATAAGTTCCTACACAGTAACTCAACCTTTCTGAACCTGGGCTTTTCAGGTGGGTTGGGCTTCTACTCCCATCATTGGCTATACTGGGAATGAACGGGGTTGCAATTCAACATGGTTGGGGCAGAGCTCCCTCCCACTCTGTGACGCTGAGCTATGGAAGTTTTGCTCTGATCCAGGCCTTGCACTATATGGCAAAGCCCATGTGTGTGTGATGCAGAGAAACCACAAAGAGGAAGGAACCAAGTTAGGGAAAGCTGCTCTAACCACTACACTATACTGGGTCAGCCCACATTACCATTTTATGTGGAGCAGCTCCTTACCTTCTGTCAAAATCCTACTCACATCTTTTGAACCCTTTTTTAAAGACCTCTAGTCCTATAAAACTTTTCTACAAAGCTTGACCTTAGCTAATTTGAGGGCAACATTTTTACTGCACCCCTTCTCCCATCCAACAATTTTTTCTCCTGTTGTTCTCTAGAAATCGCTTTGGTCCCCATCAGTCTTCACACTTGGAGCTTTTGCTCCTCACTGTCTGTCTTCGCCATGCGATTTGTACAGCAGCCTCTCCAGCTTAGATGCACTGCTTGTTCCTGGCATCCTACACCCATCCATTTCCAGAATGCCATAATCATCTACAGGGGAGCGACAAGAAGAGTAAGTCCAGTTGATTATGCAAAGAGGCAGTGGCATGTGTCCCAACAAATCATGGATTAATTACGGAAGAGACAGGGTAGCCAATATCCATAAAAGCATGCCATTCTTACTAAGGGCTCAGAATACATTGCATGCATGCTTTATCCACATAACAATTCTATACATCAGGCCATCAGCATCAGGATCTCGGAGACTGAGGAATGGTGACCTTACAGGGAGTGTCAGATTTATACTGGGGATTTCCTAGCTCCATCTTGCAAAACCCTACTACATTGCCATGGTAATTCCATGACAAGGCAGACAGTTCTACACACATTCATGCTTACTCATTTTGCTGCATCAGTAATTCATAATGATGCGACTGCACCTGCTTCAGTTTCCCTTGAGCAGTGTTGAAACTCAAAAGTTAATAGGCAAATTAAGGAACAGAAAGTGGAATGGATATGTCAGTCTTAAGAAACTCCTCAGCAGATGTGGAGAAAGTGGTTTCTAAATGACATGACACTTACCAGTGGGTAAGAATGTGGAAATCAACTAGACTTAATAGCACACCCATGACAAGTTATGAAAGGACCTAGTACAGAAAAAAGAAAGGGTGAGCAAGCTTTACCCTTGGTAGAGTACCTCCTTTCCTAACTTCCAGTTAGAATGCTGCTGCTCCAGGGAGGTCATGCAGCTGTCTGTTCAGATTTTCCCAAATCCTTCCCGCAGTGCACAACTTGATCAGACTCAGGAAACCAAGAGTTACACGTAACACAGCTCATTATGTCCAAACAGTCTTTCTCAACCAGGTGTTCTTCAGAGGCTTTGGACAACAGCACCCAGCTTTCCTGTCCACTGTCCATAGCAGCTAGGGTTAATGGAAGCCGAAGTCCAAAACATCTAGTTTTCTCAAAGTGCTTCCACTTTTTTAGTTTCTTTTGATCTGCAGGCAGCTTCCAGGGCCACACAGAGGCTATAAAAAGCAAGGAAGTTTTTATTAGGGCTGTTCTATTGGAGTCTTGTGGATTTTCATGTGCCTTTTCTTCCATCATCCATTCATTCAGGATTTCGGAATGAATCAGGATTTTGTGCAAATGCAGTTAATGTGCATTAGTGCAAACTTGCACTTCTGAAAATAGACATCTGCCAGAATATGAAAATGTACTGGAGAATAATATGTATTTTCAGTCAGTGCTTATTTTTCTACATTTGTGAAAGATTACAGAAAGTAAAGAAAATGGTCTATTAAGTCAACGGAATCTGCCTGGTGAAGAATCTGGACATATTCATAGCAATCTAATGTCATGCTCTATTGTGAATTTTTCTGTTAGAGGAAAAACTCATGCAGCACCCAAACTCTCAGTACTTGAGATTAACTGCTCTCATTCATGTTTACCAAAATTATTTTCAAAATGAAGATAGTATTTCATTTTTTCGGCACCTACCAGATTCTTTAGCTCACTGTACACTTCCTGGTCATCTGACGTGGAGGAAAACACAATTAACATCTTGACTTGAATGTATAACCAGGTGTGTGTGTAAGGGGTACTCTGGCTCTGGCTCTAAGTCAGCAGGCTCGTCATATATACACACACTGAAGCTGATTATCACAAACCTAGAATCCCAAATACACAACCACTTTATGTGTCAAGTTGTCTCTGGCTTACAGCAATCCCTCCGTTCAGCTTTTCCAAGTTCAAGGCTGTGGCTTCCCTTCTGGATTCAATGCAACTCGTATTTGGTCTTCCCTTTCATCTTCTCCCCCCGATTATTCCTAACATGGTTGCCTCCTCTAGTGAGTCTTGCTTTCTCATGATGTATCCCAAGTATGATAGCCTTAAGTTTTGTTTGAATTTTTTCCTTCAAATACTCTGTTGGAGAGTATTTGCATAGCTCTTCTCCAGCATTGTGTTTTGAGCATATCAATTTTTTTCCTCTCAGCTTTCTTCACTGTTCATCTTTCACACCCATACATTGGGAATACAATAGTTTGGACAATCTTTATTTACCTTGGTCTCCAGTGAAACATCCTTACACTTGGTGATCTTTTCTAGTTCCTTTATCTTGGCCCTTCCAAATGTCAGTGTTCTTGATTTCTTGGCTGCAGCCTTCCTTGAATTGATGACTGGGCTATGTGAAATCTACCACAATTTCAATTTTTTAATTACTGACAGTAAAGTTTTGCAATACATCTAGGGACATTCTTTTTTCCTTAATATTCACCTTCCTCCTGCTTTTGTACTTTCTTTCACTTCCATCAGGAGTCATTTCAAATAATTGCTCTTTTCTGCTGGCGGTATATCATATCCATATCATATCCGTCCATATCTTAAAATACTGATGTTTCTTCCACCAGTTTTCATTCATTCTTCTGATTCTAATCCAGATTTCTTAGGGTAAATTCAGCATACAGACAGAGAAATGAAATACATCCCAGTCTGACACGTTTGCCTGTGGGAAGCCCTTTTGTTTTTTCCATATTTGCCTTAACTGTAGCTTCTTGCCCATGGTACAGTTTACGCATCAGGATAAATTAATTGCTGAATCCACCTCCCCATTTTTTTCAGGACCATCCATAGCTCCTTGTGACCCACATAGTCAGAGGCTTTGCTGTAGTCTAGAAAGCATAGACTGATCTTTTTCTGAAATTCTTTGGTGCACTCTGGTAGCCAATGTATATTTACAATATGACCTTTAGAGCCAATCCAGCATCTCTTGCTCCATAAAGGATAGTATTGTTTGCTGTGACACATTGAGCATCACATGGGAGATTAATGCAACCATTAATTTCGGGATAATCCTGACTCCAACAAAGCTTTCAGTCCCTGCACAGTCCCTGCAGGCAATAAGCAGCTACAGTGCAGGCTCAAATTCACTCTCCCTCAAAGCAAAGAACAAAGACACTTGGATAGGAGGAAATAAAACAGCCTTTTGACTGGACTAGTGCAGACAAGAAATGCATACATTCAATCTTGTTCCATTTTTAAGTAGGGATTGTAGTTCCAACTACACAGCCAGAAGATCAGCAAAGAAGGCAAAAATGCATCCATTTCCTTAACAGGCTAACAGATCCTTTCTTATTATACTTGTATTGCTAGGTAATCTGATTAGTTAAGCTCTTGGGGTATTAAGCGGAGCCCAGGCATTCCTGATTCCTAATATGAAAAGAACCGAACATGTACACTAGATAGAGAAGTGTGTGTGGGTAACACTGGTGCTTTGTCGTGGTCTCTGTGCATCACATATGTGGGCTTCGATGTGCAGCACAAGGCCTAGATCGGAGTAACTTCCATTGAAGTCATGCCTTTGCAGTTTTTGAATGAAAGGTGTTCAGGATGACTTTGCATTTCAGGTTCAAATGACAGTTATTTCTGAGTTACTTACATACATTCTTGAGTTTTGCATCTACCAGAAGCTATGTCCCACTGTGTTCAGTTGGACTAACTCCCAAGTAAGTGTGTACAGGACTACAACCATAATTCTGCATGTAAAGCAGTACACTAGTAAAAGGCAGGCAGAAAAATTAGCAGCCAATGGGAAATACTCTGGAATTACATCAAATCCAAAAAAAGAAAAAAAAATGTTTCCTTGAGCAAAGGAATATGAAGTCCAAGGAAAATGTGTCCTCATCAACATAGGTAGCTTGCGGAAGGTTGTTTAATGTTAGGAACACGCTGTTCAGCACACACAACTGGCTGAGCTTAGCGTTCTGACTAGCACACAGACAACGGAATCCACAATTGCTTGCCTACACTCAAATCTGAGAAGCTGAAGAGCACTTACTTCACATATTTAATGAGAATTAGCAGATTACTTCTGTGGACAATGAGGGATGCAGTGTGTCCAGATGTATGTGCATTTTAACATAAACAGGTGGCCTTTTAGTTGACAGAACTGAAATATGGAGTTTAGATGTTATCTTACATAATATGAGGAAAACTGTGCATTAAAAACATGTTATCAACTTTTCAAAAGCAGCTGCTGTTCACTGAACTGTATTAAAGCTTACAGCAAAGCATGGTTAATTGCTACACAGAATTAGCGTGTCAAGAATTTTCTTGATAAATAAGGCAATATCACTACAGTTTCCTGGTTCTTGAATATATATCCTTTTTACTGAAAAAAATGATTCATAAATTAACAAATACAAAAATGTACAAACACATGGGTAATGTAATGACACAAAGGATTGCTTTGCTGAAATTGTATGTGTTTTAAAACACTAAATATCAGTGCAAAAATGTACCCCTGGCACCTCATAGAAAACATAAGAGCAAGCTCGAAACAATAGGATGAAAGGAAGTTACATATGGTTTGGTGCTATCTTTGACAGTAGGTATTCTGAAATGCATGGCGTTTGCTCAGCTGGTAGATTCATTCAAGAGGAGCTTTTACAAAAAGTAGATTTTAAACAAACATTTTAGCAAATAAAGACCACATCGCTCATACAAAAACATACGCATTTTATCATAGCATTCTGCCCCCAGCAGTGTTAGCTGACAGTGCAGAGGAAAATGGGGAGCAGTGGCCTTGTTGAAATTTCAGCTGCCAATGTACTTTTTAAAATGATTTTAAAAAACACCATTACACCACATGCGCTTGACAATTATGTTTTCAACAATTACATTTACTATACAGTATTTGACTTAGCTGATAAGAGTAACAGTGCACATTTTGAAGAGATTCCACATTTTTAAAGAGGGAAAGAGAATGCAAAAGTGAGTGGAGAAAAGACAATAAATGAAAAATAACTGATTAAGAAGTGAAATTGACCCTTTCATGCCAATTAACAAGTGCATTTCTGAGCAGAGGTAATTACTTTTCTTATGTAAGAAAGAGTGTCAAGGGATGGCCATCCATCTTGAAAGCCTAAGAAGTTCAACTGCCCTACAAGTCTAATGTTTGTTTGAATAAATGTTCATGTGATGGTCAATTCAGGTAACTTGAAATACATTCCTCAACTGAAGCACCATTCAATAGACACGTTGTTCCTATCAGCTTTCTTGGGTTAAAAAGGAAAGAGCAAGGAAAAGGTGTGTTATCCACATCTGAAAATATTAAAATTTAGAAGTCTTTATTGCTTTATGTGCCATTAAACAAAACAAAAAAGACACAAATTCTCACCTCTGTAGCAGTCATGAAGGGTTCCCTTATGAAGCATTTTAAAGCACACTTACCAGCACTCTCAAGAGCAGACTTGCTGCCCCTTCATGTGGGCTGATAAGACACACGGAATTGTGTGCATGAACATGTGTGCATGCACGCACGCACACAAATGCACACATAAACGCGTGCACGTACACGCACGCACACACTCTTTCTTAACACTTTTGAGACACGCAAGAAAACAGGCCTGGCTAATCGCACCCACAACAGATATATATATGAGGGAGTCATACATCCAACAAAACCAGAAAACTAACTGTAAACTATGCATCGTAAAGTAATAGAAGGCAACAATGCAATAAAAGAAATTAAAGTACTTCTCACTTTAAGTTCTCACAATCTCTGTCTATAAATATATTAACGAGTAATCCAATAAGACATTTACCAGAGTTACAAGCCGTAGTTTAAAAAAACAAGTTTTTCCATACTGTATAGACAGATGGGTTGGTTTTAAACCAGAAAAGAAAGAGAAACAAAATAAAAAGGCACAAATCTAAGACCAAACAAAAATTAGGTCTGTGAACCTGGATGGAGATGAAGCACTTCTGTCCAATGCTCACATTTCCTCCTGAACTAATCTCAATGCCCTTCATTCTTTTAATTATGATTTGGAGTCTGGATATAGTCATCCCAGTATTTGCACTTAGACAGTGCTTCTCTGGGTAATAGTAACAACCAAGAATGCTAACCTACGATTTTAGCCTATATTAGCTCAGTACTGTCTCATTTACACAAAAATTCTATCAAAATACTACTCATAACCTGCCACTTACAGTTACAGGAATCACTGTAGATTTTGAATTATTTGCAAACTTAGCCTGAACAAATAATGTGAAGATAAGAGGGGCAAGTGGATCTTCAACAACCTTTTGGAGAACCTGTCCCTTATAAAGATGAAGCTATATGGGAGAAATCTTTCTGCTGTTCATTGCCACAGTGGGATATACAACAGAATCTAGTGGATCAGAAAAGGAATTGGAAAGACTATATGACTACAAAATGTGCAACACTTGTCTTTCATGAATGAAATTCCTACTCCTAAAGCCAGATTCTCCCTCCCTATTCAAGAAATGGCTTCAATTTCTAAGGCTTCACAACCTCCTGACAAGATCCCACTCCTGTGAAGAACCAGACAAATAGTCCTGTGGAGAATTACCTGTCATCATGATGTGAAGTGTCTGCACAGGTGGGGTTACTTGAAATATCTTAAGTTGTAAACCTTCAGCTTTAGTTTTGGAGTGTAAAAGATTTTTAAAAAGAAAGGAAAGCAATTTATACAGCTTATTTACACCTACACTTCTTTAAGAAGCGATTCTGATGTGTGTTTGTGTGTGAGAGAGAGAGTGAGTGTGTGTGTGTGTGTGTTTATGTATATATATTTATATATTTATATTTCTTCAAGCAGGTCAATTAAAAAACCAATACAAACACAAATGTAGAAGGATGATATCATTTGGTAGCAGTTCATCTCTCATTCTGGCAGTTGCCTACAGGATAGCTTCCGGCATTCAGAGTCAAGAAACCATTGCATCCTTGCAGCCAAACTGGTTTTATGAGCAGAAAAGCACATTTGATCAGTCTGGTGTTACACATTGTTTGAGGAGATGGAATGCTGGGAAAAGCAGCAGGTCACACCATTGTTCTTTAAAAAAAGAAATCAAAAGCAAGTGAAGTCCAAGCTCGCTGCACAGTCTGAGTGGGTCTACAGTCTGATGATCTGTGTGCGTGCTTTGAGTATTATTCTTCAAAATACTGTGATCCTTCATTAGACACAAGATTCTTCTTGTCCAGGAGACACCAACAAAACAATTTCTCATGTTTTCTTCTTTTCATATTCTTTTAGTACTCACTCACCAGAGCCAGCTCTGGCGTCAGGTTGACTGTTATGTTTTTATACAAGGCGTCATACGTAACATTTGGGAAATAGTTCAAGTTATTGAGGCCATCCAGTTCTTGCCTCTCTTTGGACTTCCGCAGCAGTGCATACCTATTTGAAAAGAAGAGGTTGAAGTTATTAAGACCAATGAAAAATACACAGCCTGAGCATTCATGTTCTCTATTAAGATTTGCCTCTAAATACATTAGAACCATTATGTCAAGACATAATGCTGCTCCACAGTTGAAGATCAGGAGCAATATTTTTATATAGGCTCTTTCAGATATACTGTAGTACCAAAATACAATATAATTTAAGACTTAGTTCCTGACAAAAATCTGTTATGCAGAGTATAAGACTGCTAAATAACCTCATATATCTGGATAAACATGATTTTTAAAATCCAGTAAACATATTGGCTATAAATCTTCCCTGTACAGGCACAGCATCTGTGGGGAGAGTGTTAACAGACATACAACTGATCTGGATACTCCTTGTTGCTTTTGTTGCTATTTTACATCTGTCTCTTTCTGTGTGTGTGCATATGGACTTTGCTGTGGATTTTAATTACAAAAGGAACAGGCAGGGGTTGTCATCTTCGTGCCTTCCTATCTATCCCAGGCTGATATTACAGAACCAGCAAAAGCTACTCCTCCATCTCTACCTAATCTCTGATAGAAAAGGTGACTATTGGATTTCTCCAATAACTTAAGACATAGATCTGTTACACAGATATAGCTAACCTGGGAGTATAAAGGAAATGAAGTGGGATAAAGAAAAAAATGAAGTGAAAAGAAGGAAGGGCTGTATGGTGCGGGTAGTAGAAGGGTGAGGGTAAGGTATCCATATAGAGTTCTAAAAAATTTCGCCACATTAACCATTTATTTTTTCTCCTCCACTATGTAACAACTTTTTCACCAGCTGATCCACATCTAGCGAGCTGGTGGCTTTCCATTTTTCCATGGGGGTTTTATTACCACAGTTTATCTTATTGTAGCTAAACAGTTATTTAGATCATCATGTGAAAGCACCCCCAGCTGGAAATAACATGGAAAAGAGTTTTAATGTCAAGACCAATTCACAATATACTGTACTTGTACCACAAGACCCTGTGCCTGACGTGGCCTCTCACCAAGAAATGACGTCTAAGAAGTGATAAGTTATGCGTACTCCATCCTTCAGTTGAGAGCATGTCCACTCACAGTTGAAATACAGGGAGGAAGAACTTTATTCTTTTGTTTCTGTGAAAATTTAAGCCTTTGGTATTCCACAGAAACTGAGTAATTTTGCTGCCTTAAACAGTTCTTTAGATTATGTTTCACATTTGTTAAATGTAGGGCATAATACAGTCGAGGACTTCGAACCAGAGAACCGGTTTTCAAAAGGGAGGGTTCATGCACTAAGCATCTTTCATATATAATCAAAACATCTTGTGTAAAAGGGGGGAAAGGCTTCCAAAACTAATCTTTTCTGACTTTAGAAGTTAAACCCAATCTCTGTCAATTGCAGCAGCACAATGAGAACTGTGAGGTAAAGGGGAAGAAAGTAGTTATCTCATTCTATCAAGTGGTTGCTTAGGAAAAAGGAAAGCAAACAAGAACCTTAAGTACTACAGGCTCATTCCATGCTTGAATAAGTACTGAAGTGCCCATGTTATTTTTATATTATATTGAAAATTCACTTCCAGAAATCTTAGTTGCTTCTTTGTATGTATTGATAACAATTGGTATGATGCTGCAATTAAAACAGCAAAAATATTGGTAAGTGATCTGCAGCATTCTCTTCTTAAAGAAGATGTGCAAAATCCAAGTACTATCTATAGTGAGTGTTGGAAGTCTCATCCAAGTCTAGAGGAACACCAAAATTATCAATGTGCATTTAAAATGGTCAAATTCAATTTAATATATAGAGTTCCTACTCTCAAGATTGGGACTGCATCAAATTCCTAAGCTGTTTTTTTCAAAATGAAAGCATTCAGTTATGGAAAGCAATCCTAAGACAAATAAAACTGGGTGAGCCTCTTCCAAGTAAACCTAATGCAGTGATTTTTAAACATGCCCCAGTTCTATTGTCCTTGAAAGGCATGCCAACAAAAGACTATAGACACAAAGCATAAGCTCCTCCCCAGCCACAGTGACTTAGGCCACAGGCATGTTCTGGCAATTACACAAACATCTGATAAATCTTTACTATAGTGTGGGGAACAGGTCTGGAGCTGGAAGCCAGAGAGATTTCTGAAAACTGGAAGAAAAGTAAAAGTGTTTTTAAACTTTACCATACTACTAAATGAAGCTTGGGATCAAGTTCCTAGTTATGAAACATTAATGTGCCTTGAATGTATATTTACACCTCTATTGCTACTGTCCTTTTGCTTTTGTACTGTGACAATCTTGCCCAAAATTACTTTTACATGAATAAAATTTGAGGTGTAATTTCACAAATAGAATCACACACACCTGTCACTGCAAACAGTGTTTAACAAGGAATGGCAGGGGTCAGTGTAATAGCTGTAACATTCAATGCTAAGGATATTCTTATTACAGTCATTTTGTAAGGCATGTTCAATTGGTTCTATTCTGGATGGGAGTTCTTGGGTGAATGAGAACCTATGTCCTTTATTCCAGGCAGTCTCTTAGCTTCTTTTGTCCAAGCCCCATGTAATGAATATGTGGCCAAATGACGACATTGCTCAGTGAAGCCTAGAGAAACAGACATATATGTGGATCGGCCAGAAGTTGTATTTTTACACTTGCACAACTCCCTTTTTACTATATCAGGCACAGGGAAGTTTCCGATTGTCTATATCCTAGAAAGTTGCACTCTCAGAGACACAGTGATCACCAGCTAAGAGTAATGGGCTACTACTGAGCTTTTTAAAAATTAGATTAAGAACAAAACCAAGACTTTAAACATCCCTGGCTGCACTCTGCACAAGAACTCAGGTTCTATGCATACAAGTAATAATGAAGACTGGCACTTAGCCAACTGAAACAGCTGAAAATTTCACTGAGTTCTGAAGGTTTGGGCATGGGCTGGACTGGAGACAAGAATGCCTAGATTGTAAGGACAAGGAGACTGATATTAAAGGAATGGGTTGGCAGCCTCTCTTTGTAGGACAAGCTGAACTACTCAAAAGCAAGTTCCTACTATGCATACATGTTTTTAGCTCAGCAAAACTATGAATTGATTCAGATAATTAGAAATCATAGAAAAGCAAGATGATAACATTTAACCTTGACCCACAAAGTTAAGATCTACATGGATTTCTAAAGATGGGTGATTTAATAAGCTAAGCTATGTTGCGAAAAAATACAGACACCATTTCCAAATGGCTAAAGTTACTTTTAAGCTTTTAAGAGTAATTTGAATCTACCTGGGGCTTGTCAGGAATGAGTGTTTTAATATCCTGGATGAGAGAGCCCCATATACACACCTCTGAAGTATTAAGAAGCCTGAAATGTCAAAGTATTTGTGATAATTTTACTTGCCTTCCTAAAAACTGTACTTCACCTCTATGGTGATGGGGAATAGATTTGTATTTCCCAGTATCACCTTCTGGCCGGGTAACAAAGTAGCCTGCATAGTGCACCCTGAAAATGAAAGGAGAGAGTGAGATATTTTTCAGTTGCTTTGACTTCACCATTTGTCAGTACTGTATAATCTAAGCAATAGGTTTGATAAACCAGCACTCCCAAAAACATAGTTCAACCAAGTGGTCATATATCATTTTTCCACTTTAAATAGGCTATGCACTTGCACACACATCACAATTTAGTTAGGAAACTATTAACATAGCAGTAACCATTAACAATCTAAAAAGCATGAGATTCTGAGACAGAGCAGTTCATGACTTTATCCAGGGCTATGGCTAGAGGTTTGTTTGTATGTTTTAAGTCTGTACTACTCAAAAAACACACACTGTGCAATGAAAATGAGGAAACAAACATTATTCCCAAAGTCAACCAAGATTATGCTGAGAAGGAAAGAAAGTAGATTATGATTAAATCTCAGGTGTAGAAGTTCTTCTGCAGAAGTCATGTGGAGGTGGGAACTGCCTAAATGTTAGTTTAAAGACTAGAAGCAGTGGGTGCAGGACCAAGTAACATGACAGGGAACAAGAGAGCTCTCAGGCAGCTTGTACTGCCAGGATGAGCACTTAATGTGTGTGCCCAGGAAGATACATTCCCAAGCATTGTAAATGATGCATGCAACTTTCATTGTTCATCTGGTGTTGCAGGTATTTGACAGCATATGGGAAAGCCATATCAGTTAGAGTGTGTACATAATCAATCCCCAACCCACCCTCTGTACGCAAAATACCTGTTCCAAAGGTCGTCATCCTCTCCGCCCCAGCCCCAGAAAGCATTTGGAAAGCCATTGATTTTTCTGAACTGTCCCACTGTTAAGCCACTCACTCCTCCAAAGAACTCGTTGTAAGGAAGGCTATGTGAAAGAAAGAGAAAGTTTTAGTCAAGTCAGTGGTAAACAGAGCTTAGCAGAAATCAGAGCTAATTTGGCTGCCTCCTCACAGTCAATCACAAACAGTTTTTCAGGGTCCACTTTACCAAAAGAAATGTCTACAACCATTTCTCTGTGTACTTTTTAGGTAATTAAATACAGGATTGCAGTTACTTACAGATACATATATTTATCCAGCTTTGCTGCAAAGTGTCTTGGCATCTGCCCACATCCATAATAGTTACGGTCATTTTCAGGTATATGGTCAACATCATGGAAGATCAAACAATCCCAGTCCAAGTCCTTCATTGCTTCCCGAAAGCCAACATTGAAGAGCATGGCACGGTTAAAGGGTTGGTTGCCAGCCTGGGAGGAAATTCCAACAAGGTAAACACACTCATGCTTATTCAGAAAATCATTTATATATAATATTTGTTATGTTGTATTCATGTACTTAGAGTGAGAGTATCCATTCATTTGTTCAGAATGCTGTTTGACACCTTACATTAAGTATTTTTCTCAAAAAGGAAAAGGTTTTCCTAAATTAAATTCAGTATTACTGGCATGACAACTGAGCTGGCAATGTTACTCATTTCTTATGTGTCAAACGGATTAGGGACATATTTGGTAGCACTGTGATGGATTCTAAGGCAACTTTGAAATTTAATCACAGGTAACAAAAGCAGCACTGAATGAGAGGTTGTTATGCTGGCATGAGATTTTCAATTGACTGAAAACATAGACCCTGATAAAATGGCCATGGCCAACTATAAGATCTTGTGAGGTTCTTTAAATGCAGCAGTGGAAGTGAATGGGAGACAAGGTGTTTTTTTGTGAGTGGACACACTGTGAAAGTTAGAAGTGGGGTTATCCATTCAAGAAAGCCGGCTACGCAAGAATGCCAGAATTTCATGCATGGCACATGATGTGTTCTGCTACTAAGCTATCACTTGTCAATTATTTATTTTTGTCCTATCCAGTATTTAGGGAAAGCCCTAAGTGGAAGGGTTGCTTTGCATCCAGAAGATATATTTATTATTTATTTATACATTTATATACTGCCTCATAGCCCGGGCTCTCTGGGCAGTTTACAATAAACAATGCATCAATAAAACAAATAACACAATAAGAAATGATTAAAAACAACATAAACATCTGGCATTTAATGGCAACAAAAAGATAAAATCAAGGCATGGAGCAAAACAGAAATAAAAGCAATGTTAAAAACCAATTTAGCTACAATAACACTTGGAAATAAAAAAGTCTTTGCCTGGTAATGAAAAGAGAGCAGTGACAGCGTTAGGGAAAACTCCCTGGGAAACATATTCCACAGGTGGAGTGCAATCAAAATGAAGGCCTCCCTCCTGACTGTCACCCCTCACTTCTTTTAGGGGAGTGGAGAAGGACCTCTGTCAAAGATCTTAACAAACACTTAGGGACATATGGAGACAGGTGTTCCTTCTGATAGTCTGGCTCCAGGCTGTATAGGGCTATGTATGTTAGCAACAGCACTTTGATATGGGCTCAGAGTTCAAAAGGCAGCCAGTGCAGCTAGAAGATGACTGGCATACTGTGTTCTTGAGGGCCAGTCCTCATCAGCAACTGTGCTGCTTTGTTCTGAACTCGCTGGGCCATTTTCAAAGGCAGTCCATCTCAGAGTACATTACAGGAATCCAGAGGTTACCAGGCAAGAAGTTACCAGAGCATGGATGACTGTGGCAAGATTTGCTTCATCCAAATTGGGATGTAGCTGGAAAATCAGCCTTAGCTGATAAAAGCTGCTCCTGGCCACTGAGTCCATCTGAGACAGTTCAGGGTCCAGGAGCATGAACCTTGTCCTTTAGTGGGAGTGCAGCCCAATGCAAGACAAGTAAAAAATTCCCCAAGTTCCAACAGAAGGATCCAACTGTAGCCCTGGACATTTCTAGCTGTGCAGTTCAGATAACAAGTGCTGCTAATCAGTTCTCTCTAAGAACTTAGAGAGTTCCTGCAAGTGAGTATGTAATTTGCTAAGTATTAACAACAGTCACACTATGGGAGAGCACTGGAGCTTTACTACTGGACCAATGAGCTGGCCCTGTAAGTGTCTCTGTTTCAAAGTAAATAAAAATAAATGAATGCTTTGTTAGGAGAACAATGAGTAGCTAAATAATTCTTTAGAACTAATTTCAGAAATACTTGCAGAACAATCTGTTCCAAGATTAGGAGTCACACAATGGATGGCAGGATCTCCATATTAAAATCATGTCTATTTTACTTGCAATGCTGCTTGCACAGGTTAGACTTCTCGCGGATCCCATCAGTCTACATAGAGTGACCAGTTTGGGTTCGTGCTTTGAACACATTTCACCAGTCTCCAGACTAAAATCTCCAGAAGTTTTGCACAAGCTTTATAGGAGTCCATACAGGTATAGACTTTTCAACACTAGATTTACCTAATAGTTGCAACTGTGGTAGCTATACTCAATTACTCCAGTTTGGCATTTTTCCACATGACAGGCATCTTGCCCTGTTCTTGCCCACTCAACAAATAAAGGCTGCCTGCTACATAAACAAAGTATATTTCTGAAGAGAGCAAAGTACTACAATAGACATTAGTTGGATGTGGCTTCTCCAGTTCCTGGGTAGCAGAGATAGCTACAGGAAGACTTGCACCTAATTAAGTATCTTCATAGTAAGTATCTCCATATTATATAGCATGACTTCAGAAATGGCATGGGTAACCACAGACAAATGGGCAATTGTAGTAGAAACCCATGAGAATATTACAACAGCTTGACCAAGAAAGATGTATAACGCCAAAAAACAAACTGTGTAGTGGAACATGTTGGAGAGGTTCTATGGGTCCGCCTTCCATAAGGCAAACCTCTCTCCTTTCTGCTTCAGCTCCATCAAAAAACTATTGGATTGATTGTGAAAACCAGTTTGTTGGTTAGGACCATTGGGCTATAACTCGGGAGGTCTGGGTTCTACAGTTTATTTGACTAGGTAGCTTATTGGGTAACTTTGGGTCAGTCACTGACTTTCAGTCTAATTTCAGAGAGTTGTTGTGCAGATAAAATGGAAAAAAGGAAAAACACATAGGTTACTTAAAGGTAAGAAAGTATCAAAAGATTAGTTTTCATACCCTAGGGGTCAGCAACCTTGAACACTCAAAGAGCCATTTGGACCCGTTTCCCACAGAAAAGAAAACACCGGGAGCCACAAAACCCTTTTGACATCTAAAATGAAGATAACACTGCATATATCGTTTTTTACCTTTATGCTATGTATAAAAAAACTATAGTGTGTTGCATTTATGAGATCAATGAATGATTCTTTTATATAATCTCCATCTGTGAACGGCTTCCCGTGCCTGACTATTTCCTGAACGGCCACAAAACTAGCATATGCAGTTGAATTTGCAGGCTTGATCCACTCCTTGAAATGAGTTTTGCTCAGATCAACCTTCCGCATCAGTTCTGAAACGGCTTTTTTTCTCTCATCCCCATCCGGATATTTTTCAGCAAAGGCTGTGTGTTTATTCTGGAAATGTCTTGCAACATTCAACTTTTTGTTGTTTGCCAATTTCTCACCACATATTAAGCATACTGGTAAACCAGTCTCGTCAGCAGTAAAAGCAAAAAACTCTGCCCACAAAATATGTTCTGTTTTCTTCAGAAACTTTTCTTTTCTTGGATTTATCCATGGTTGGCCTACCGGGGGTCGAAAAGCTCAATAAATCACGTGCCAGTGGGTGTCGCACATTGGCGGTTGTGACGCATATTTTAAGCGACAGGGAGCTGCAGCAGAGGGATGAAAGAGCCACATGCGGCTCTGGAGCTGTGGGTTGCTGACCCCTGCCCTAGATATTCTTCCTCCAGCTGTTGCCCTCCAGCTGTTTATACCTGAACTTCCATCAGCCCTGGGTTTTAGAGCCAATGGTCATGAATTGGTATCCCAAAATGTCTAGAGGGCATCAGGCCTGGGAAGGCTATTCTAGATGCTTTATAGTAGTACATAGGTTCCTAATCGCCAGTCACAAGAACAGAATACTACCTAAAGTAGCATTAGCCTTGGAAGGCTTACATGGTGTACAAGTTGGCAGGTATTAATTGCAGTCATACACAGGGCACATTTTATGGATTTAATTTAATACAGTTTGCAACAGACTTGTCTCTCTTATACAAAATATCCTGAAAAAAAATTACCATTACTTCTACCGGAGCAGAATTTACCTTGGGAACAAAAATCAAATACACAAATTTACTTACTTGTTCAATAACGTAAAAGGCGAACTGTAAACGCTGGCGTTGCAGCATTGGAATAAGATGCCTAAAGAGGACTGGAAGATGCTCATAACGGTTGCGGAATGGAATAAGGATTGCCACCTAGGAGACAGAATTGTCATTAGCTCTTCCTAGATACTGGAAACCTACACCTAAGCAATTCAAAGGCTACCAAACAATCCGCCACATATATGACAGGGACATGCTCTTCAAGAATAAAACATGCAATAGGCAACTGGCTGGTTCCCACTATCCCTAGGGAAATTAAATCAAGCTTTTATAAAGCTCAATGCAAGTTTGCTGCAATTCAAAATTCTGTTATGTAGCCAAAGTTAGTCTATCTGAATAGGATTTTAGAATACTCAGGGCTAGTTCATACCTTTCCAATTTAGAGCAGGAAGGATGGTCTCAACATATTCAATTCTTGTACATGCCTGTGAAATGCCTCAGACTCCACTGACATGAGCAAGAAGGCCAATGTATGCAACATACAGAACCTGAGGTAGTCTCTGGTTTGGCCAGAATCATTCATTGGGCTCCCATGTGCACTAAAATGCCAGACTGTGAATTCAGGAAGTTTATACAAGAATGTGCTTTACAAATTTCACAAGCAGATTTACTAGCATCTTCTATATTATTGTCAGATGCTTCTGTTCTGAAATGTCCCCTCCCCTTTCATTTTTCCTCCTTTGGGGTAATACTGGTTTCCACTATTTAGTGTCAGTCACAGAGTCGCACTAGCATTCTGGAGGCAAGTCTTATTCCTTTTCCAGGATGTATAAGGGTATTCAAAAGAAGGGACAGAGCTCAAAGAAGGTGAAATTTGTGGAATCTATGGTAGCTGAGACATTAAGCGGAGAATGAAAAGCTGTGATATGCACCCCAAGAAAGGGATTCTAGAGGACTCCACAATTTTGGATTGGCTTATTAGCCAAACTAGGGTTGGACTGAACCCTTTCAGAATTCATCCCTTTAGCATCCACAGACTTTCTCTCATGCACTGCTTGGTCCTGCAAAGCACAAATGCTTAAGGACCCTCAGTCATGCAACTAGCAACCTTCCTAGCAGCTGCAGGACACAGAAGAGGGGTGCTGAGAGCAGGCACTCTGGGTACCATTCACAACCTTCTTCCCTGCCTGGTGCTGCTGATAATGGTGGTGGCAGCAGTGTAAAGGGGGGGGGGGGTGTTTATGCAGCAGATGGAGCATTTTTCCTAGCGAGTGCCCCACAGATGCTGTGAATGCTCACCAGGAACTTGGACTCTGGGCTGTCACAAAGCAGGCTGCAGTCTGGGGAACAGAGCCCAAAGAACCTGATGGATTCCCAACTCCAAATTGATTTCTTGCACATCCCTAAGCAAAACATTGTGTGTGGACACCATCAATGGCCCCCTGCATTCTCTGACAAACACATATAAAGGACTTGGAAAAAAGTACAGTTGTCTTTTATTTGTACACTGTATGAAAGAGGTAAGATACAGCTGGAGATCCTCCTGCTGTTCAGGAAACACTGCTGTTTCTTACCTGTTCAAAAGCTGCAATGGAAGTAAGACCTCATAAGACAGGGCCTATGTGGAGCTGGGCACTTGCCCTGGCCCAGCTGGTGAGTGGATTTGTGGTTACCTAGTTATGGATCGTTTATGGTCTACAGGGTATTAGTCTGAAAGTTCCTAGACTGTCCAAATTCTGTTCAATAAATAATATTCATTAAGCTACCAGCTATCAAACAAAGGAATGAAAAATAAAACTTCAAGTTCCTTAGGAACGGAAGCCCACAATTTCCCTTAGAATCTACTAAGTCTTATTATTTGTATAAACATTGTTTTCCCTTCCTCCAACTTACTTTCCAACGAGGCAGGCAGTCTTTAGGCTTCCAGTGACCTCCTAGTTTGATAGTAGGGTCTCGGGAGAAGAACTGGTGAATCTCCTCCATACTGATTTCACTCATATTTACATCAATAGGGCCCTCTGTGTATTTAAACAGCAGAATTAAGAAACAAGCACCACTCTAAGAATATGGGCTTCCAATTACTGAATTTCCTTACACTATAGAGTCTGTTTCAACTCTTACACTTTGTCATCAGCAACTGATTTCCAATACCTTCTCAAACCCTTACCAGTTTACATACTGTTGTGTGAAGTATAATGCAAGAGAAATAATATTAAAATTTATGGAGATTCACCATAGCCATTCAAATAAAGCAAGAAATGACTCCCTACAACTGTCTTTGTCAGCGCTTTTTTTGTAAAAAAGGTGCCAGAACTCATGTTGCCGCCGGCAGTAAGCACTCAGCGCGCAACCACACACACCAATCCCAAGCCGAGCAGCGTCCCAAGCCGGGCGGCACAGACACAAAAGCAGCCAGCAGGCACTATGTTAATGAAGTTTGCTGCTAACCTGCTACACCAACAGGCGATTCAAAATCACTTCGTAAAATCCATTGGAAAAAATGGTGCCGGAACACTGTTCCGGTGCATTCTGTGACAAAAAAAGTCCTGGCCTTTGTTCACATACAAGGAAACCCCAGATCCAGACAGCAGAGGCAATGGGCCATGGGACTCTTCACCAGGGTGGCAATAAAGAACAAATCTTTGTCCTTAGTTTCAGAACTCTATCAAGCTCAGGGCATATGACAGCATCCCTCACTCACTTCCATACAAGAGGGAGTGGGAAAAACAAAAATGGGCATGTGGACATGCAGCTCACATATAGCTGTGTAGTATTTCTGGATGTGCCAGTCTTGCCAGGGGCAATCATTACTCATCGAGCAAGCAAGTGGCAATGTAAAGGCTAGAGTGTAGCATCCTGTGTTGATGAGATCATACAATGAGACAAATAGAGCAGGTAGTAACCTGAACAAGCTCTGCATCAGTGCTTGGAAAGAAAATTATGCTGTTCACACAGCAGGCAGGCAGCTGTCGGTGGAAAACCCACAAGCAGGGCATGACAGAAATAGCACCCACCTACCAACATCTCCCAGCAACTAGTATATAATAGTTATTATTGCCTCTACAGCAAGTAGCATACAGTCATTAGGACAAGTTGCCACTGATAGTGGTATCCTCCAAGAATTTGTCTGATTCCCGCTTTTAAAATAGTGGTGGCCATCACCAGATCTTATACAAATGAATTCCACAATTGAACAATATGCTGTGCGAAGCATTTCCTTTTCTCTGTCCTGAATCTCCCATCATTCAGCTCCTTAGGACAACCTTGGGTTTTATGAGGAAAAATGTATTTCTACTCACTTTTTCCATAGTATGCACATTTTTGAAAAGCTCTGTGACTTTCCTTACTTGACTTTTTTCTAAGCTAAACAAACCCCAGGAGCTGTATTATTCCCTTAAATAGGAGTTGCTATAGTCCCGTACTTATTTTAGTTTCCCTTTTCTAAATGTTTTCCAACTCTACAATATCCTTGTCTAGGTGCAGTAACCAGGCTAATAGACAGCATTTTTTTAAAGTGTGGCTGCACGCTTTGTTTAGATAAGGTAAGTTTCTTTTCTAAGTATGTCTAACATAGATTTTACCTTTTTCACAGCAGCCAGTCCCTTCTCTATGTACAGAAAGTTGCAGTTTACTATCTGATGGAGAAGGATTAATAGGAACATACAAACAGTGCTTCACTTGCCTTAGAACTGTAGGCATAAATTCTATATCCTGGGTTTATGGCCTTAGATACTTCAGTGATGGGACCACTTTTTCTTTTGGGTGGAATCTCTACAATTCATGAATCTCTACAATTAGCTGAGAACAGCCCTCATATACTAAAGCCAAACAGTGAGGCATTTTTGGTGACCAGCAATCATATTTAAGCTTACTGATAGTAGTGTTGACTTAAATGTGTGTGAAAAGCAATATGCTGCATCGATGAAACATGCATAAGAGGCTTTTAGATCTGCGGTGCAACCAGTAACTTCTGTGGGACGGTTATTTTTCTTATTAAGCAAATGATCCATCTAAAATTCAACACTCTCAGTTGACGCACCATTGAATTCAACTGGGAACTGCTAAGCACACAGACTTTTAAGCCTCTAAAAATCTATGGGGCTTAAATATGCTTAAATACATGGGCCGGATCATGCCCCATGTTTTTAATCAAGAGTGTTCCTACAAATCACTCAGTTTTCTAGACACAGTTTTCAAACTACTCACACAGGTCCTGCACTGCTGTGGTTGGATCTGAATCTACTGAGGAGACCAACACAATACATGGGACCACATTGCCTCATCACTGGAACTAGTTAAAACCAGTTAAAATCCTTTCACAGAATGAAGGGGGATTTATTCTATTTACACATACATTGAAATAAGGGATTTTCTACTTACTAATAGCAACGCTGAAGAATCATGAAAACTTTAAATGAACAACCTTCTTACTCATCTAATTGGCCTCAAGGTTAAGAAAGATGATAATAATGACAGCCTCTTGCCTGCAAGGAAATTGATGGGAAAGTGAGGCATAAGTTAAAACAGTACTCACTCATAGAAGGGAGTCTTTCAGGGCAGGTATGGTTTGGAAAATAGGTAAAATCTTCAGGAAGAAAAGTTGTTGTTTGCAGAAGGCTTTCACTGTGGTTCAAATCAAGAGGGTAATCTGAGGGAGGAAGAGAAAAGTGCTACTTAGGCTACAGTGTTTACAGTATTTTTCTTTATTAGCAGAAACTTCTGCTAGCCAGTAAATGTATTCATATTTTAATGCTGCACAGCCTTTTCATACAATCTGATTCCTTTTTAAAAGTGAAATTATGGAATTAAGAGCACAAAAATCTATAAAGCCATTAAGAATTGTTAACACAGTTGTCCCTGAAAAACTATACCTGGTATGCTCGCCTCATTTATTTGAGGCATTCTAGTCCCTCATTCTAAGATCTGTCACAATGTATCTCTCATAATGTGTACATTAGTGTCATGAACAATAGACTGTTATTATGATACCAAAGCTGAAGATGTAAAGTACCAGCAGGTTCCTGGCCCAAACACTTAATTTGCCCTAAATGAAGCTGTAGCCCATCCTTGATCAGTACAGATTATAATATTATTGTCACTGCCATCTTGATTTAAGAGAAACTTGTTCCAAAATTCTCTTGGAGTTCACTAAGATACATACAGCCCTGTTTTCCCTGTCTTTTCCAGTTAGTGTTTTATCCATGTCTACTTCTGCTCAAATGCTGTACATTCTGTGACAAATATGAACAATTTACTCTAGTTGTTTACACAGCGACTAATTTTTTAAATGCTTTTTGTGACAAATGCTCTAGTTGCAATGAAGAATTCACTAGCTTCAGCCTAGCATGTTAAGTCTATAAGGATATGCATAGTTTAAAAGAAAAAGTATTATTCTTGTCCAACATTCAAATTATTCCTCCTCTCTGCAAACCGTGCCATTACTAGAGTTCTGCAGTCCTAACGTATAGTAGTTGCAGCTTATTCGTATTCCAGTGTGAAGGAGACCAACACAGAATTGAAAAAATATGACAGGCCAGGGCACTTGGTAAGCATGTGGATGAGCCTTTTGATCATGCCTGCTCATTATTGATCAGCTATGTAATATATACTGAATTTGTTACTATTTTGTTCTACTCCTAACCTTTAATGAAGACTACTCTATTCGGTTATGGATTTAAAAAAAAATATGGGCTATTTCAGTTAATTTACTCCTCTACTATGTACAATAAAAGTTATTGTAGATGTGAAAATTACTTTCAAAACCCATCTACAGTTTTACTATTCTAGCACAGATGCCATGGCTGTACTCTTGTTTCTGGGAACTATGGTTTAATGGGCCAATATGTTGATTGTTGAAAGAAATTAGATATGCAAGAACGAGTGAGAAAGTTGTCAAGTTGATATAGACGTAGTATAAACTCTGAAGGTATGAGCACCTCAGGTTCAAATCCACAACCATCAAGAACTCTAGCCTTCCTTAATCAGGTCATTCCCTAAGTTTAACTTATTTCAGAGTCAGTCTAGGGATAAAAGGTTAAGAATGGTAAAACTGCTCACACACCAAAACTTGTTAAAGATCAACCATGAATGCAGAAGCACCTTTGGACTGTGTGTAGTTATCATGATGATCTTTCCACAGATATCACGTATCTTCATTCCATTATTATACATTACATGTACATTCCATTACTGTAGGCTGCAATTCCAGCACCGATGTGAAATTCCAGCACTGATTTTGCTGATTTATCCTTTTTCCAAGGCAGGAGCAAAAGGTGAAGGGGATGTGGTTCATTCAAATACTTCTGCATAACTGTCTTTATCCTAGCAGCAAACGAGCCTTTGAAAACTGAATATGATGCAGACCAAATTCATAATGGCTTTCTCAAACCATCTATAAATAGTATTAGAAAAAATGCAAAAATGAATTTCCAAAGAGGACTAGGCTGGTTGTATAATCTGGAAGAGTGTGACAGATTTTTAAAGGTCATTACAAGCTTTCCCTTCACATATGTGTATGCTCCAGGAAACTTATTTTTACAGAATAGATATCTGAAAGGGTTCCCTCTTCCTAGGTGCAATAATTAGAGGGAAAAGCAGGTTGCTTACCTGTAACTGATATTCTTCGAGTGGCCATCTGTGCAGTCACACATATGGGTGCTGCGCCTGCGCAGTGCCTTTGGCCGGAAGATTACAAGCTAACTGTTTATTTTGGTGGGAAAAAGCTCCGCTCCCCCTCCCCCACAGCCTATAAAGAGCGGAGCATCCGCCATTTTTGTTCAGTCTTTGACGACCAAATGGACGCCCACTTGTGGAAAAAATGACTTGTAAATGAGTTCTACTGTGAACAGTATCAGTACCGAGAGAACAATGAATATCGGTACCAAGAAACAATGATAACATTCAATAACGATAGAGGTCCACTCACCGACACCGAGCGGGGCCGGCGGGTGGGTTGTGTGACTGCACAGATGGCCACTCGAAGAACATCAGTTACAGGTAAGCAACCTGCTTTTCTTCGTCGTGGCCTCTGTGCATCACACATATGGGTAGATTAACAAGCTTACCATAACGGAGGAGGGAAGGTGTCCTCAACGAAGAACAGATGAAAGAACGGCTCTGCCAAAGGAACAATCTTGTCGAGCCTGAACGTCTAAGCGGTAATGTTTGGCGAAAGTGCAAGGATTCGCCCAAGTAGCAGCTCTACATACATCGTCCATTGGTATACCCGATGCAAAGGCCAATGAGGTAGCCACAGCCTTAGTCGAATGGCCTCGAGGGGTATTGGGCAAGTCGATATTGGCCAGTTGGTAAGACAGGGTGATGGTATGAACTATCCACTTAGAAAGTCTCTGCGGAGTGACAGGGGTACCTTGGCCCCTGGTAGCATATTTAATGAAAAATCTATGTGAACGTCAGATAGACTCAGTCCTGGATCTGTAGAATGCTAAACAGCGTCAAATGTCAAGTGAATGTAATGTCCTTTCTAACAGAGTAGACGGAGCCGGAAAAAAGGCAGGTAAAATAATATCTTGCCCCATGTGAAAGGGTGTGGATACCTTAGGCAGAAAAGATGGATCGAGCCGCAGGACAACCTTTTCTCTATGAAAATTGAGATAAGGTGGGTCTACGTGCAAAGCACAGAGTTCGCTGGCCCTCTGGGCTGAGGTAACCGCAACTAGGAATGCTGTCTTCCATGAGACAAGATGTAAATCGACTGTGGCCAACGGTGAGAAAGGAGCTCTCGTAAGCGCTTGCAGAACAACAGAGAGACTCCAGGTGGGCATTACTGGTCTGATCGACGGATTCAGATTATAAAGTCCCTTCAAAAACCTTTTAATAGTATGTTGGGAGAAAATGGACGAACCATTCACCATACCCTGATGACAGGCGATGGCTGCCGTATATACTTTAATCAAAGATGGTTTCAGTCCAGAGTGGTGTAATTCCAGGAGGAACTGAAGAATTTGAGGAATTGACGATGTAAATGGAGAGAATGAAAGAGAGTCAGCAAAGGCGGAGAAATGCTTCCATTTAGCTTCGTAAGACCTCCGTGTAGAAGGCTTTAAAGCGGAGTCCAATATGTATTGAATGTCCGGATGAAAGGCTGTCGGATTCGATGGCACAGTAGTCGGATCCAACAGTGCTGGTGCAGTGCTGTCCACAGCGGATTCGGAGGTTGCAACTCTATTGGGTTCAAAAGTAGAGTTTGAACCTTTTGAAGTAGTTGTCGGTGTAGACGTAACAAGGACAGTAGTGGATTTGAAGGTCGGATTCGAACCCCTTGGAGTAGTGACTGGTAGAGACATAGTGAAGTCAGCTATTGGATTCGCCACGCTGTTAGTTTTAATGATAATATATCTGGGTGACGAAGTGCACCATCTTTCTGGGTTATCAAGAATGGGAGCGGTGGAAGATGTAGGTATTCCCCGTGAGAAATGTCCAGCAGTGTGGGAAACCAAGCTTGGCGTGGCCACCAAAGAGTAATTAGTATCCCTGTGGCCCGATTGCAAACAATCTTCGCTATGACTCTCATAACCAGCGGAATCGGTGGGAAGGCATAGAAATTCAGATTGTTCCATGGAATCATGAAGGCGTCCCCTAGGGATTCGTGTCCGATTCCCACTCTTGAGCAGAAAGTCGCACACACCTTGTTCTGTTGTATGGCGAACAAGTCCACGTCGGGGAACCCCCAGCAATGGAAAAGGTTGTCGCATGTCTGGGGGTCCAGTTCCCATTTGTGAGAGATGAGCACGTGCCTGCTGAGAAGATCTGCTTCCACGTTGTCTGTACCGGCCAGATGGACTGCTATTATCGTAATATCTCTTCAAATGCACCAGTCCCAGATCTGCATAGAAAGTCTGGCCAGGGTTGGAGACTTGGTCCCGCCTTGCTTGTTCAGATAAAAAACGGTGGCTATGTTGTCCGATGTTATCTGAACAACCCGATTTTGAAGAACATCTTCGAAAGAGCGTAGGGCTTTGAACACGATCAACAATTCCAGGAAGTTGATATGCTTCGTGGATTCTTGATGAGTCCACGTGCCTTGAGTATACAGGCTGGAGCATATCGCTCCCCAACCTAGAAGAGACGCGTTGGTACCAACTGTAATCGATGGGCCTCGGGACCTGAAGGGGACCCCAACAGTCAGATTGGTCGGGTTCAACCACCATATTAGCGAATGGAGGACCGAGGATGGGACTCGAAGGAGTTTCAACGGTGGATCCCTCTGTGGGTGGAACACTTTGTTGAAAAACAGCTGCAACAGATGGAGTCGCAGTCTGGCGTGTGGCACCACTGCAACGGCGGAAGCCATATGTCCTAGAAGTCTCTGGATGGACTTCGCCGGAACCGATCTGTCTCGACGCATTCGATGAACATAGCAAGTGAGAGTCAGTTGTCTGTCCTGAGGGAGGAACGCCTTTTCCAACGTCGAATCCAAGTGGGCTCCGATGAACGTAAGCTTCTGTACCGGAAGGAGAGAAGATTTCTCAGTATTAATGCAAAGGCCCAGGTCGTCCAATAAGGCGCAGGTAATACAGATAGAAGTGAGGAGTGCTTCCCTGGACCTGGAGACTAGGAGCCAGTCATCTAGGTAAGGATAAACTTGTATGCCCTGGAGGCATAGATAAGCACAGACAGGGGCCATGC